TGATAGTAGGCCATATATTGTACATGAAATGCCGGTTATTATCCGGGCCGTCTATGATCAGACATGGTATGTTGTAGAATCTTTTCAAGCAGGTATGCCCCGGAATACTGGTGTTGCCGAATGTACCCGTACATAGCACGTGCATGGTAATTAAAACCTAATTTGACCACCAACATTGGTCCACATGCGTCTACCGGTAGCTAGGCCACGCTGATGACATGTTGAGATATTTCACGCACCTGGGACTGTTGAACTGCACTTTAATGTTACCTATCCATTGTCAGTTTCACTGACTTTTCAATACGGCCCCTCCTGAGGATATGTAAGTGGTTGGCGCGACTGTAGGTGTCGTCTGCTCGTGACAGGGAAACTTGTAACCGTCTGAACGGGGGTGGTTTTGTTAATAGAGCACGTTAGCCGATCCTTCACGTCTGAGGCAGGTGAATATTCCCTGAAATGATTGTGCAGTTGTGAAATATGCAGTCTTCTTCCATTTTAATGATAAACGGAAAAGGAAATATATATTCAAGTGGGATTAGTTGAAAAGGGTTTGGAGCGGCACGGGACCAAGAATATTTTAGAAATTGTGAGGATTCGATCACTCAGTTAAACCACGTTCCTTCATTCATAGATACTAATAGACCTGTAGTGAGTGAGTTTAGGTTAACGCCTCTTTTAGCAATATTCCAGCAATATCATGGCGGGGGACACCAGAAATGGGCATCATACATTGTACCCATGTGGGGAATCGAACCCGGGCCTTCGGCGTGACGAGGGAACGCTTTAACCACTAGGCTACCCCACCGCCCCCAATAGACCTGTAAGATGACTACACGCAGAACAAAACTATCCTGCACGTCAACATGAAGAATATTTGTGAAAACGATCGCTTTTAATAATATTCGCAAGCATTCGAGTGAGTTTAGAAAATTGACTTTATAACTCAGTCATACAATCGTGTTGAGTACATATCACAGGTCCAAAATAAACCATCACATAATATGATTGAAAATTACCATCTCCCTATCCAGCATGGTCCATTGACGACATTAACCTCTACCCTAGCCACAATGGACACGTTAAAATTAATTGTTGCATGCATCAGGGACTTCGACAGTTTTTTTCCCTCCATGAATCACGCAAACAGTCGCCCCTTCGTGGGAAACACAACTCACTATGTACCGAGTTGAGCAACACATTGTTACCTATTGATTTGAAATGAAGCTTACAGTAATTCAAAAATCAATGTTCAAATGCGGCGCCTTTAAGGAAGCATGTTCAGAGGATTGTGAACATGTGTTAGGGATTTATATTAATCTGTATAAAGCTGGCTTCTCGCTGTTTTCTGTGTCTTCTTGTCAGTATTGATTATGTACAAAGTGTAAGAAGCGCTCGGTCGACGGAATGCACCTCAAGTCGATATCGTTTACCGAGCCACGTGCTCCTGGTAAACAGATGGGGGATGTGATTCAGAGGGTTTTTTAAACATTTAAAGTGATGTTTGGCTGCATGTAACGACTATATGCCTCACTGGGTGTACTTGGATGGTTCAGAACGCTTGCTCGTCCTTTCTAGGGATCCGTGAAAAGTTACATTTACACAGAAAGAGCCAGCTCGCTGGTGCATGCGTGCGCGTGCGTCTGTGTTTGTGTGGTTGAGTGAGGGGCTGAATGATTCGGTTGAGTGAGTTGTTGGATGAGGGGCTGAGTGACTTGGTGATTGATTTAGTGGTTGGTTGGTTAAGTGAGCGGTTGAATATATATGTAGTTCAGTGATTGGTTGAGTGACTTGGTGAGTAAGTGGTTGAGTGGGTAGCTGAGTGAATAGTAGAGAGAGTGGTTGGGAGAGTAGTTGAGAGAGTGAGTGAGTGGTTGAGTTAGTAGTTGAGTAAGTGGTTGAGAGAGTAGTTGAGAGAGTGAGTGAGTGGTTGAGACATTAGGGGAGAGAGAGAGAGTGAGTGAGTGGTTGAGTTAGTAGTTGAGTAAGTGGTTGAGGGAGTGGTTGAGAGAGTAGTTGAGAGTGAGTGAGTGAAGTGGTTGAGTGAGTGAGTGGTTGAGAGAGTGGTTGAGAGTTTGAGAGAGGAGTGGTTGAGTAGTTGAGTGGTTGAGAGAGTGGTTGAGAGAGAGTGAGTGAGTGGTTGAGTTAGTAGTTGAGTAAGTGGTTGAGAGAGTAGTTGAGAGAGTGAGTGAGTGGTTGAGAGAGTAGTTGAGAGAGTGAGTGAGTGGTTGAGAGAGTAGTTGAGAGAGTGAGGAGTGGTTGAGTTAGCAGTTGAGTAAGTGGTTGAGAGAGTAGAGTGGTTGAGAGTGAGTGGTGGTTGAGTTAGTAGTTGAGTAAGTGGTTGAGAGAGTAGTTGAGAGAGTGAGTGAGTGGTTGAGAGAGTAGTTGAGAGAGTGAGTGAGCGGTTAGTAGTTGAGTAAGTGGTTGAGAGAGCAGCTGAGAGAGTGAGTGAGTTGAGTGGTTGAGAGTGGTTGAGAGTGTGGTTGAGAGAGTAGTAGTGAGTGAGAGAGTTTAGTTAGAGTTAGAGTTTGGTTGAGAGAGTAGTTGAGAGAGTGAGGAGTGGTTGAGAGAGTAGTTGAGAGAGTGAGAGTGAGTGGTTGAGAGAGTAGCTGAGAGAGTGAGTGGTTGTGAGTTAGTAGAGAGTGAGTAGTGAGAGTAGTGAGAGAGTGAGTGAGTGGTTGAGAGAGTGAGTGAGAGGTTGGTGAGTGGTTGAGAGTGAGTGAGTGGTTGAGAGTGTAGTTGAGAGAGTGAGTGAGTGGTTGAGTTAGTAGTTGAGTAAGTGGTTGAGAGAGTGGTTGAGTGGTTGAGTCCGTACGTCGGTCTATCACTCCGTATTTACTTAGGCAAGAAAAGCCTAGCTCTTTAACAGCATACAAATAATATCCAAAAATATTCATGATGGCTAACTATTTTTGTTCAGTATATATTCCGCAGTCATGGAACCGCCGCTCCCCATGTACCCTCGGTAGTATAGTCGGTCTCACAGTCCCTGAACCACATTATTCTCCCTACCGCCCAGCTCTTCCTGCAATGCTAAAGCCCTAAATGAAGCAAGTGTAGATTTTCTCAGGTTCAGAATCTCCCATCTCACTGGGGCTTCTTTCAATTTAAATGGGTTTATTTGTTACTATCAACATTATATTCAGGGACTAAGCGTTAGTCTACCGGTAGGAGTGCGCAACATTGTGCACTGTATCAGTCGTTGCTGAAGTAGCTGATGGTAGTAGGTATCAGAATAGGAGCTGGCATTTCAGACGAACTTGTAACCTATTAACTGAATTAAATATTAACACAACCACCGTATATTCCACAAAACATACCAATGAATGACGCGAAGTGCGCATCAGAATAATTACAACTCACTGAAAAGTTATTTTTGTATAGAAAAAACAGGTTAGATAACTGTAAATAATACATCCGTTATCCATACAGCAATACTAGCATTATGGCCTATAAACCACCATGGTTATAACATATTGAACTGTCGACTGTCTTTCTGTTTAATAATACACGTGTCAAACACAGTGATTACGCGAAAAACGCTTAATTACACGTTAATTATGACAGTAATATTAGTTGGCAAAGACCGGGTTTCTACCATTCCAATAATCATCGTCGTCGTTTCGTCATCATCGATATCATCATCATGGACAGACCGGTGGGATAGCTCAGTGGTTAAAGCGTTCGCTCGTCACGCCGAAGGCCCGGGTTCGATTCCCCACATGGGTACAATGTGTGAAGCCCATTTCGGGTGTCCCCCGCCGTGATATTGCTGGAATATTGCCAAGAGCGGCGTAAAACTGAACTCACTCACTCACTCATCATGGGGCGTACCAATAGGAGCAAGAGGGTCGTGATTTGAGAACGACATGAATAATCTTATTAAAGGAAGTGTTTTCCAATTGTAGTCTCTACTCCCTGAGGAGTATACATCGTTCTCCAAAAGTACAGACACGTTCTCTGCATTACAGGTTTCATGATAAACCTACCTATAGATCTTAAACATAAATTTGAAAAAGCTAGTTGCTGGCATAAAGGCCTACCTTGTAAATGGAAATACATGTAAAGAGTACCAACCTAATGTGTGACAGGTAGCCACCATATAGCTGGAATACTGCTGAGTAGCGTTAAACAACAAACAAACAAAAACATAGAGGGCGAATATGTAAAGCAATCTGTAAATTCATGAACATGTTCAAGAAAATTGTTTACTACATGCACGAACATCTTCAGTGAATGGTTACATGTTGTGTGTCTGTGATCATTCTATCGACCCCTCGTTTTCTTCATCCTTGACTCAACGCAAAAGCTGTGACAATACCGAGGATGAAGCCTCCTTTTTGAGGGTTTCCGTGCGAACGACGGGGAGATGATACAAATGACTCGACCGCTATGGTCAGTTGTCCGTACTGCAGAGGGTGATGTTACAATAAACTTTCGTAACACGAGTGTTTGTTATTGTGGCGAAAGAAAAATGATTATCAAATGCATGAAAAAGACAAGCTTCACATTAGATCTCATTTTGCAGGTTATGCAGTTTTTTGTCCGACATCGAGTTCAAATATTAAAAAATTATTAAAAATACGATGGAAATCCTTGGAGGAATGAAACATATATCATTAAATTTCATTTTGCTCTTGACAAAAAATATTTTAAAAACTGGGTTTTTTATGTATAATTTAAAGAACATGTGCGTCTCACAAGCTTTAACTACCCCTATCAGACCGCCTGACAGATACGTTATGCCTACACGTGTCCCGTTAGCGTAGACAACACGACATATTTCAATATCCTGGCGCTTCCACACCTGCTGAGAAGTTGGCAAGATGTCGCGATTTTACAAGATATAAATAAATAAGTAGCGAAGTGTCCGAACCATTGTCACCACGGGAGCCTTATCGCTAATACCACAGAAAAAATGCAGCCTAAAGCAGTCAGTCCCTGATAGGAATTCAAAGCTTACATGAGCTGTCATTCATAGCTAGCGACCAACATGGACGATCCTACATGCGTCTTACAGTTAGATGCCTTGCCGTTGTTTAATTATTGTCGAAGCAGCACCACGTGAAATCCACTCTCATACAACCGATTTGGTGCGCAACAATATTAGGACTGTACCATTATCGCTGCGAACGGGCGCGAAGGTTGTACCCCCTTCGATACAATGCATTCGCCCATGGTGTAGCGCGAGATTGTAGTACAACCAACTTCAGTGTGTAGCCAGAGTCTACAATGAAGGCATGCATGGATGAGGCGGGCAGTGGATTGTTTCTACCTTAAAGGCATAAGTCTGATCTATGATTACTTGGCTGATTTTAAGCTAGTAAACTTGGCCGATTAAACCGGTTGTCAGTGTTTTGAACAATCGGCCCTCAAGGTACAAAATAGAACGAGCGACGGCTGATCGCGCTTTGCTTGTGAGCTCTGTTAAAGGGGCTAGTGATGAGCGCGCTTGACGTTATGCAGGATTTACCTTGGAGCTAAACCATTGTGGATTACTGTTCATGTATAATATTTTTGTTTCTTTGCAACCTACCTCATTCTGTGGATTGTGAATGAAAGAATTTTCTCCAAAATGAGCCAGTTTTGGAAAGGTGTGGATTTACCTGTGTTAAACGCAGTTTACCTGTGTTTTCTACTGCTAACGTTGTGTGTTTCGTGGGGGGAGAGCCGTTCATGCCCCCGGGAGTGTTCCTGTCGGAACAAATACATCGACTGCAGCTTCAGAGGACTATTATATGTTCCTTCGGATATACCTAATGATGTGGAGAAATTGTAAGTCTTGCACGTATTATTGAGAACACATGGTGTGAATTGTTAATGAAATGTATTAATTGTTTTCAATCTTAACTTTAATAAGCAGGTTTATAAGAGCACATTTCTCCTTTTAAACGACGTGCCACAGTATATTCTTTTGTATTATATTTTTTTTAAATATTTAAAAACATGGGGGTTGTAAATTCTGTGTGTATGATGTACTGCGTACTCTTGTCTCAGTTGACAAGCTTCTGAAATCACAGTTAACTATTACTTTTATCAATTTTTAAACTGATGATTACAAGAAATACAAGTGTATTATAACCTTCGAATTACATGTGTGGTGGAATATAGTCTCATCTGTGTGGCACAGCCCGTATTGAATAACGAATATGTAATACTTTAGCTACGGTACAAACGAGACACAAGGTGTCGAAAGCATGCGTCTTCACGTGGGCCGGTCTGTCGTGTTTGGATATCCTATACTAGGTCAGTTGTAAGTTTCAGATAGGCTTCTGTCAACTGCACTGTCAGTCTGTGTCAAGTCTCTCGTTGTCTATTTCCCAGAGCTCTACATATTACAGCCGTCCACAATATGTTATGACATCAATTTGCGTGTACATAGCGCCTCACCTAGTTGTCAATATCTCCCCATCACCTACCAGCGTCTCCAGATAATAGAATCTACCTGTAATATAAGCACTAGTATATTTACCCTTGTCATTAAGGTTGCTCGGAAGGTAGAGTTACAAATATACGCCTCGAACCGATATAATTATGAAATAGACCTGTTGTCGATTTCATTGAGAAATGTATATCTTGCTACGGCTGTCAACAGCTTAGACGGGTCGTGTTACAGCATAAAAACGAAACTTACTTGTAGGTAAAGTAGTTTGAACTCGTAGTCTATTTCAACAAATGTCATTATCGCGTTCGTCGTTTTCCGTGTTGGACAAGCCGTACAGTAGACGCGTGGTTGTGTACAGTGTTCGTCGAAAATATGTACGGAGGCCGCTGTTATCTAATGCACGTTTTTGCATGTGTGATTATGTGTGCACGCTAGTTGTGTTCAACGCACTGCTCGCTTGTGGTGTAATGGGGTGTCACACTGTCAGAAGTTGCTGCGATCGTCTTTCACAAAGGCATGTATATACTATACGTGAACACTACAACCTGCAACGAAGAAACGCTGTGGTATGCGACACTTTCGCCGTTTATATCATAATGTCTCTTAACGTCGGAGAAAGGTCCATATTGTTGATACGTAAATAACCCTACTTCCCTAACAACTTCAAAAACTGCTTGTATAGCGTGGGCGTGTCACTTTAGTGATAATTTTGTAAAGATTCCGAAACGCTTTTTTATGAATGTAAACTGTATGGTGGAATAAAATAGAAGCAACAATACCCTTTCCACTTTCATAAGAAATCTCTGCCAAAATAACACAAGCTGTTGAACACTGCTCATATGCATATATACAGGCCTAAAGTCGTGTGGTTAAACGTCTACATTCGACCCTCATTAACAATGCTGTAGTTATCGTATGTGTCTTGGTTCCACCGATATAAACCACGTATATAAACCATCGGTATAAACCTATTAGGATCCTACCATATTCTTTCCTCTCAACATTTTTCTTATACTGACTGAGGTTGGTTTTACGCCGCTTTTAGCAATATTCCAGCAAAATCACGGCGGGGGACACCAGAAATGGGCTTGTACCCATGTGGGGATTCGAACCCGGGTTTTCGGCGTGACGAGCCAACGCTTTAACCACTAGGCTACCCCACCGCCCAATTTTTCTTATAATTCATTCCTCCTTTAGCAATAAGTTTGCCTTGAAGCTAGAGCAGTCGTCTGAATGTATTCACAAACGTAGGGTATATGTTTAGCTGCATAGTTTAACCTTGAGCATCGTGTAGATGTATTGCAATACTTAGAGAACCGTGTACGTGTACAGTTAAACTAAGAGCATGTGTCTAACTGAATAGATAACCTAGATGTACCCAGAACATTCGTGTAAATTAAACTTTTAAACTTTAACCTAGTGCCTTAGGGTAAATGTATTGCAAAACCTAGAGAACGGTTTACGTGTACAAATAAACTAAGAGCATGAGTCTAATTGTATAGCCAAACCTAGAACATTCGTGTAAATTAAAATGTTAGGCTTTTAACCTAGAGCATGCTGGTAAACGTAGAGCTAGAGCTAGACCTAGAGCATTCATGTAAATATGTAGCTAAGAGCTAGAGCTAGACCTAGAGCATTCATGTAAATATGTAGCTAAGAGCTAGAGCTAGACCTAGAGCATTCATGTAAATATGTAGCTAAGTAGAGCTGACTGAGTTTAGTAGCTACGCCGCTTTAGCTAGACCTAGAGCATTCATGTAAATATGTAGCTAGAGAGCTAGGCTTACCTAGAGCATTGTACCCATAGTAAGAGCTAGAGCGAGACCTAGAGCATTCATGTAAATATGTAACGCTTTAAGCCACTAGGCTACCCCACCGCCCTAAGAGCTAGAGCTAGACCTAGAGCATTCATGTAAATATGTAGCTAAATCTAAAGCATTCCTGTAAATATATAGCTAAACATAAAGTTTCCATGTAAATGTATCAACGCAGAGCCCAGTTGTGTGTTAATGTGTATGCATGGCTATACTAAAAGCCTTCAGCAGAGCATGTGTTAATCTGAACCGAGAGCAGTCGTGTAATGTAAGCTGAAGTGAGAGCATTCGTGTACATACTGTCATCCAAACCAAGCTCAGTCCTCCATGGATCTAAACCAGAAGTTTGTTAGGCTGAAACAACGCAGTTTGGTACATCTATATCTACATCAGATACATGTAAACACAAGCAGGATGTATGCTCGTCCATATTGCCTACCCTTGAGCATCGTTGTGCCGTATACAGGCCAATGGCAAAAGGGACGTTTACAGACGAAATAATTAACCACTACGCCCGCATAGCGACCAAAAACCTCAAGTCACTACCTTTAAATTAAGCCATTTTAAAGACTATCCCTTCCATTAAAAACCCACTGTGAAACAACGCCGTTCGAAGGTTTTACTTTCAGAGTACTCCGATGTAGATCCACGGACGACTGAGTCCATGCAGCAAATCACGACCGTTATATCAAAACATTTCAAAGACTATTCCTTGTACCGAAAACCCCACTGTCAAACTACGCTGTTGAAAGGTTTTAGGTTGAGAAAACGAGGACAGGGGTTGAAATCCCCCAGCGCAGTATAACGACCCAACACAGAACATCACTACTGTTATATCAAAACATTTTAAAGGCTGTTCCGTCTGCCGAAAACCCCACTGTCAAACTACGTCGTTTAAAGGTTTTAGTTTGAGAAAACGAGGACAGAGAACGTCCATAGTTAATATGCCCCATCCCAACTCAGTATAACACCACACAGCACCTCACTGCCTTTGTATCAATACATTTTAAAGACTATTCCTTGAACCGAAAATCCATGATCAAACAACACTATTTGATGATTACAGGTGAAAACACGTCAATGTGTGAAATACCTCACCCCAACTCCTTTTAACGACCCCACCCAGCACCTCACTACCTAACATATTCCTTGTACCTCAAGTCCACTGTTAAACAACGCTTTTGAAGATTGTAGGTTGAGAAAACTCGGACACAGAACGTCCCTGGTTAACCTCACCCCAGCTTCGTACAACGACCCCACATCGCACCTGTAAATCATAATACTTCTACTCTAAACCCCACTATCAAAAACACGATGTTTCAAGCTTTTACGTTGAGTAAACTCTGACATAGAACGTCCAGGGCTGAAATACCTGACTCCAGCTCCGTGCAGCGACCCCACACTACCGTTATATCAAGACATTGTAAATAATATTCCTTCCGCCCTAAACCCCACTGTCAAAAAACGCTGTTTAAAGTATTTACGTTGAGAAAACTCTTACGAAGAACGTCCAGGAATGAAATACCTGACTCCAGCTCCGTGCAGCGACCCCACACTACCGTTATATCAAGACATTGTAAATAATATTCATTCCACCCTAAACCCCACTATCAAAAACGCTGTTTAAAGTTTTTACTTTGAGAAAGCTCTGGCGTAGAACGTTCCTCGGAATGATTGTGGATGACACGATGAATAAAACCACATTAAAAAGACCGTGTAACACAGTAGTTGGTGATGATTACACCTGATACGCGGAACCCTCCCCCTAGTCTCCCGGCTCTCGTGTATATCGCTTTCATGTCAGCGTTAAGTATTTCCACGGGAGTGTAACAGTTGACAATGCATGGCGATAAGAGGTCGCTCACTTTAATACTTGACTAGAAAGGGTTACGTTTGTGGTACCCTCACCCTGTTATCGATAATCTCAAAGTATATATTTACTTGCCTTAAGATATTCTTATGCAGTGGCTTACGATGTGGAGTATCTTTTTGACAGGGGTAGTTTGTTGAATTGTTCCTTGGGTTAGATACCTATCTCGTATGTCAGACGCGGTAAGGGTTGGGTCTCTGAAACATTTCAAACTGGGGTTTTGTCATTTTGGTCATTCCAGAGGTTAGGTTACTGAAGAGAACATCTTTGAGAGTCGTGAATTTGGCACAAATTACACCTGGTGATTTCAAGGTATGCGTGAACACAAAGCTATCAGATTCATTTATCCTGAAACCCGTGAATCTCTGTGTTAGAATTGGTCTTCAGCATCTCATCTGTGTCTTGTGATGAAGAGAACGGGGTCGGGTGGTTGGGCTCTGTGGCATGGTTGAGCAACCCATGCTTGTCGTAAGAGGCGACTAACGGGATCGGGTGGTCAGTCATCGTATCCCAGTTGTGTCGATGCTCATGATGTCAATCACCGGATTGTTTGGTCGAGACTCGATTTGTTACAGACCGCCGTCATATGGCTGGAATATTGATGATAGCGGCTTTAAAAAGCAAACACACAAACGCTAGTCTAGATCGTCACTAGGGCATGGTGAAACGACATTGACCTCAAGGCAAGCTTATGCCAGGCAGCTAA